TCTTTTCTGTAGTGGATATGATCTCATCCATCATGCTTCATGCATTTATGCCCATCATTTCATCCACTTTCCTTATGCATACCCTTTGATATGGAGAAATAAAGCATCCTTAAATTCTATTTCATACCTTGGCTCTCTTTTCTAACCTCCAGGGCTGCAGCCCAGGCAATATCCAGCACTGTTGGTGTCTGTGCCACGGCACTGAGCACATCTTGGGCTGAAGGACAAAAGGGCCTTTTGGGCTTTTCCTCACTCACTGCTGAGAGCAGAGTGCTTGCCCTCCTAGGGGTAGCTTTTCAAAAGGGATGAACTTCCTTGCAGCCCCTCAAGTCAGTGAAGGAAAAACAGCCCAGCAGAATGTGGGAAGGAGGATTTCCCTGGGGCTGGCTGCTGAAGAGATGGCTGCTTACAGCTTCATTGCTTAGCATCCACAAAGAGATACAATTTCATAAACTTAAAGGAAAAGAGTCTTCATTTGTGAGCTGGCAAACAATAATCTCACAACTTAAAGATCAGAAAGTTCAATTTATCCAATTCTGCCAATTCTATAGAGTCCAGGCAAAATACATCACACCTGAATTTTCTCTCTTCCATCCATCTCTTATTTTTCTTCCTTCCAGGATTTGCTCCTTAGCGTACATTTTATGAATTTCTTCTGATCTAGCCTGAAAGGGTCTGAATGCTAAAGCCTCTGCTACCACCCTCATGAAACCCCTCCACAGGAGCACTGACTGACTCTCTTTTCTTTCAACCCCCTGCCTTTACTTCCTTCAATCCCCTGTCCTTTGGACCATCCTAAACTGTTCCTGTCCCTCCTCTGGGCTGCAACATGCAGCTCCAGCTGCCTCTCCTTCAGCTCTGCCACAGAGTTACCACCCTGCACGCCTCCTTTCAGGAAGCCAGTCCTTGGGATGGTGCTCCAGCTGCAAGCAGGACCTCAGCACCAGGGTCCTTGCTTGGATGCTTTGCCCTGTGGAAGGAAGGAAGGCTATCCCAGCCTTTCTCAACTGTACTGCAGGATCTGCCATCAATCCAAAAGCCCCAAAGACCATATAAACTTTTTATATTATACTTTGTTGTGGCTGGATGTCTCTGCTCCCTCTTTAAGAGTGACCTTAATGCTTTATTTATTGTTTAAAGGATAATGATCATGGTAGAGGAATATATGAGGCAATAAATGGCCTTTGCAGGTAATTAAATGCTGAGGAGCGCTGAAGCTATTGATAGCCATAAAAGCCATTTATTCTGAGTGTGCTGAGAAGCCAGGAGCACTGCTGCTGTGTTCCTCATAGCATGCAACAAGACAAGATTAAACAAGCCATGGTACTAGAAAGGGGAAAGACAGCATTTTTCTTACCCTCTCAGGGCTTGAAACTTCTGAGCTGCTGTTTATTTAGTGCTTGCAACAGAAAATATTGATTGTAATAATATGTGGTTTTGTATCATATTCCTTTTTTCCTAGCTGCTTTAGAAGGGCTTTGCACATGTTGGCAAGAATCGTTGCCCTCCTTTGACACATACTCAAATAAAGGCACAGCAGGGAAGAGTGGCTTGCCCACATAGTCAATAGGAAAGTCTCTTATCAAAATCCAGTTCCCAGGCCAGTCTCTTGCCTACTTAGTCACACTCCTATTGTGCATTGCTATTGTACTTGTCATACCAGCTTTCCAAGCACTTGTGGATAGGAAGAGCCCACCTTCCTACAGACAGAGGCACTAGCATCCTGCTGTGCTTCTGCTCCATATAGATCCCTACTTCCAGCCAGTGCCACAAAAAGAGAAGCTGTTCTCCTGTGGTAGGGAACTCTATATGGTTCCAAATTTGACTTAGCCATGGAGAGAACAGCAAGACTGGGGACCTTATTCACAGACCTTCCTGTCTTCCCCCATCATAAGAATAATACAGTGTGGCTACCAAAGTTCTTGCATAAAGTTTTGCTGTAGCCACATGCAGCCGTGCTCTGTGTGGAGACATCATCTGTCTAACAGCACAAAATAGCCAAAACCCAAGGTTTGGGACAGAAGGAGCAATGAAAGGATTGACTGAAAGGGAAAGCAGATGTTTATCAAACTTAATGCTTCCCACATGAGAGAAACTTCTTCCATTTCTGTGCCCACCATCAGGTTCACCAGAATTTTTTTAGCAAACATGGTTTCCTCTGAAGAATAATCTGAGATCTCACAGGTGCATGTCCATAGTGTGTAGGTGTCCTAGAAATGTACCTTTCACATGCTCCCATTCAAGCCTCCATCAGCTGAGCATGAAACAAATTATGAAATCTGAACACAGAAAGGAGACATTTTACAGGATCTCTGTTGTCTTCCCATCATTTAGCCCCTGCCCCACTTCACAGGGTTTCCTGCACAGGTCACCCAGGTCTTGCCATCATTTTAGCTCAAACTGTTCTGCTGCTCCCATGGAAAATTTTGGGGTGCAGGTCCAGAGGTTCTTTGAAGCCAGGTGCTGTGGTGACAGGTAACATCTCAGCATTTGCTGTAATGCAGACCAGAAGCTGGGCATTTCCCAGGAGGCCTGGGAGTCATCCCACAACTGCTCCCCACAAATCACTCTCATGAGCCAGACAGTCCCTTCACAGCTGAGAAAGAGCCCTGGGGAATGTCCCACATGAGGGATGAGGCAGGTGAGGGGCCTTGGCAAGGCCGGCAGAGCGTGGGGCTCAGGTGCAGGGAGGGTGACACACAGCCAGCAAGGCTCACCGCAGAGGCCAGCTCTAGGCACAGCCTGATGAGTGTGCACTTCCTAGGCATGTCAAACACAGTTGTAAGTGATATATGCATATGTCAACAAATCCCACCTGGCCTGTACACAGCCATTAGCATCTGGCAGCTTGCTGTGAGCACAGGTGAGTTATGGCTCAGGGGCATGTGCTTTGGGGCAAGGTTAAGAGGTGACTCCTGTGTGGGGTAAGTGGATTAATATGACTGGCCACGATGCAGGCTTCTCCTCTCCCTCCTGACGGTGTAAATCAAGAGTAACTGCACCAAAGTCAATACATGGATTAGATTCATTGGTGCAAAGGGGCTGAAAAGCACATGATTTTAAAAGAAAGGACATCTCGATTACAAGATGGGGAACAGGAACAATGAAAAATGTGGCTGCTTTGTGTGGCTTCCTGTGGTGTGTTTTTATGGCCCTGCTCCTTCCATGAGAGCTTTATCCCAACAGGTGCCCTCACAGACCTGTCTGCAGCACAGCTCCTGCTTATCACTGGCCCTCCTTGTCACTGCACAGTGGGGAAGCCCTGTCTCTGCTCTGTGCACAGAGGAACCCCCATGCTGACCTTGCTGCAGAGAAATGCTGGCTCCTGGCGGGGTGGAAGGAGATTTAGGCAATGCAGCATTAAACATAGCCTCAGTGCCTCAGTCCAACCTGCCTTGAACACTTCCAGGGATGGAGCACCCACAGCTTCTCCGGGCCACCTGAGTCAGTCCCTCACCACTCTCACCACAGTAAAGAATTTCTTCCTCGTGGCTAATTGAAACCTACCTGACTAGCCCAGGCTGCCCAGCCCGTGCTGCTTTTGGGGAGGCTGTTAATTGCACACACACACACACAAACCCACCCCACAGCGGGAGACCCAGGAAAGAAGTTTTGCCTACACCCACTTCTCTTGTCTAGTCTGAGGGAAAAAGAATGTTTTGCACATCTTCAGTGTCTGGGGAGATCCAGTGAGGATGGTGTCAGGGACATCTCCATTGGAATTTTGTGGGGGTAGGGATGCTCAGAGTGTAAGAGCAACTGTAAAAACTCTGGTTGTGGAATTGCCTTCTCTCACACACAGCCCTGCCGTGAGAAAGTAAATGCAAATGTACATGCAAATTAAAATGCAAATGTAAACGCAAATGCCAGGCCTCCTGGGCTGCACTCCTCGGTGCTACAGAAATCCCTTGACCTCTCAGAAGCACTCAGCTTGCTGCAAATGTCCTAGTAGAGAGGAAAGAAAATACTGCTTTTCAGTCTGGGTTCCTGCCTTTCTTCCCCTATGTGTAAGAGTGGCATTTGTATTTCTTTGTACAAAAAGCTGATTTCTGCACCATGTGCACAGCCCTCTCCCATTTTGGTGAGCAGAGCGCACATTGAGGGTATTCTTGGTGAACAGGTGATTCAAAAATCGTGATTGTGGACACTAAAACATCCTTCTCTCATCTGCCAGCCATTTAATCTGCCATTAAATTGAATGCATGAGAGACAGTGTCCTCCCCAAACACCCACAGTGTTGTTAATGAAAGAAAAGGAAAAATTATTTAAGTCAGGAGAAAGGCTACAGGTGAAATGAAGTCTCGTGCCTATAATTTACATCTTCCTTTTTTTCTAAACTAGCTTTTGCAATGCCATAGTAAAGCCCCAGGGCAGGTTCCCAATCCTCTGATTGTGGATGGGGATGCAGGCATGTCCCAGCTCCACGGGGGCTGTGGGGCCAGCACCCTGTCCCAGAATATGAATGAGAAGGAAGCTCAGCAATACCATCCATCTGGGAGCTCAGTGCTGCTCAGGACCACCACCATCCTTGCATGCATCTGCCTCGTGCCACAGCTCCTCCAGGCTTTGCCCCACATGATCAAGCACTGAGACAGGGACCTTGCTGATCCTAGAGGGTTTTAAGCCAGGAGAAACATCCCTCCAAGTAGCAAAGCAAACCACTCAGCAGTCACAGCTCATTTAGGTTTATACTCACGGGCAGTGGTGGCACATTGGGATCCAGGCTGTCTGAGCTACAGCTAATAATATGCACCTTAGATTTGTGCTACCATAATGTGCTGGCCCAGAATTTCTCTGCTGGGGCACCTCGACATGGTGGTTCTCACCCGAACACCTCCTCTGTAGCCACTGGGAAAATACCACAAGAAAGCTCACTGCCTCCCTCTGGAAGGGTCCCACAGAGGCCTGCCGTTCCCTATCATACACAGCACAGCAGCAAAAAAGGACAGTCATTTCTTCAGCTGGATTACATCCTGAGCCAAGGCGATCAAGCAGCCTACCTGCCTCCACCCGCCTGTTGTCACAGCGCTGTGGGCTCTCCGCCACGGCGCTGCCACGCTGCTGGAAAGGCTGGTTGCTGAAGAGGTTGTCACACAGCAGGCTGCGACAGAGCTTCTTCAGGAAGCGCAGGACGTACCCGATGCTGTTCACTACCAGCAGGCTCTGGAGATGCTGCTTCCCCTCAAAAGAAGCTGAAACTGGAAAGCAAAACAGGAGCAATTCAATACCTGTGGATGCGTGGCAGAAGGGAGAACGAGGAAAATAATTTTACTCAAGTATTTGCAGTGTCTTAAAATATTTTGCAAAATTACCCTACCTGAGTCACACTACAAACTGGAGGAGCTTAAGGAGCTGAGTTTGTGTGACCCAGATCACCTTCCTCCTTAAGAGCTGAAAGATGCTGACTGGCATGGCCAGCCATGCAAGGTTTTCTAATATATGCATCCACCTGAAAATGGTATTGTGTGATTAGAATGAGGCAATCATGATACCCTGGTCTAAGAAAGGGGAAAGTGATTTGCAGTGATCACCAATAGCGATGGGTAAGCTGACTTCAGTAGTACCCAAGGTTTTAAAAGATAATGGGGAGATAAGAATTAAAGGCATGGTTGTGAATGAATGAAAGGTATCAGGATTGTACTGAAGAGAGAGGTAACAGCTTCATTGCTGATCTTTATTTACTGAGTTAACTGCATTGATAGGCAAGGGAATGTTGGCAGCTATGATCCATCCAGAATTCAGTAAAGTATGAGAAATCTTGCATTAAATTGGAAATGATTGCATACGAGAGGTGGGTCAAGGAATGGCAACAGGGTCTGCTGGCAGGAGACCCCAAGTCCCAGAGAGAAACCAGCAGCAGTCTGTGCTGGCACAAAGAGATTTTGTGGATGCTGTAATCTGGCAGACACCATCAATGGAGAAGAGGCCTGAGAGATTGCACAGAAAGTGTCAACTGATTTTGACTTTTGACTTAGTAAAAATGAGTGAAAAACAATCTGGAAATAAACACATAAAATGTTTAGAAATCTGTAATTCTTTGAAGAGGCTCAAAACAACCTGGTGGGACAAGAAATGATAATGCAAGCTTACAGATGCCCATAAAACAGCAAGGTGACACAGTCACAAAAACTCAGATATATTTCCAGAAGATGTGGAACAAAACATTTCCAGGAGAGAAAATGGAGGGTTAAAGCCCCTATACAAAGTTCTGGAGAAACCTGATATGGATGGATGGGCATCATTCTGGTCATACAGGCTGAAGAAGGGTGAATTCACACTTGCAGAAGTGCACAGGCAGACTGCACTGATGTTCAGGGAGCAGAAATTTTCCCTGTGGCACTGCAGCCACCACCATCCTGCTATGTGGGACTGTGGCAAGACACCTGCACTCCTTTCACTGGTGCAGTGATCTTCCTCACCTGAAATGAACTGTGTATTTCAGCCTGGCAGGATGAGGGTGGCTCTCTTAGAAATACATCTAAGGGTAAGAGCAGGGCAATTAAAATTCCTGCGTAAACCAGTCAGGGGGCATACTTAGCCAGGAATTAAGAAAAGAGCATAAGGTCCCAGCCATGGGAGGGGTGGAGGGGTCAAAACAGACCCACCAGGATCAGTTGTAGCAAGACACAATCGATTTCAACAGGTTTGTAGGGAGGACAGCATGATATGGCTGCCTGAAGTCTTCCACCTGGAAGGTTCTTTCCCAATCCTATAGTTTAGCTCCCATCACTACTAACAAGAAAAAATTGCAACATTAGACTTATAATTTCAGGGATAACTTCAGAGATTTCCTGTTGGCCTGAGCTGCTGAGAGGGATCATGCTCCACAGCTGGCTGAGCATCTGTGAGCCAAGCCATGGGAAGATTGGAAAGTCCCTGACAAAACTCATCTGCACCGCTGGGAGTGAGGTGCAATTGCAGAGCCACACCATGACTAGGAGGCCATTCACCCCTCTTTGATGACTAGAAGAACCATGAAATTGGGAGAAATGTTGACTAGGTGCTTTTAGTTCAGGTGAAGCTGAAGCTGAGCCAGCTCAGAGGAGCTGAGACCAAGGATTTTGGCAGGCTTGGTGCATAATATGACTCTCCTGATTGTAATGAAAATCATATATGCAGCACAGAACTAGGCAAAAATGAAACTTTGCACTGCATTGATTCAGTCTTGTGTTTCTGTGAACAAGTCTGGATCATTCTCAGAGTATTTTTGGTGTCCCTTAGGGAAGGCACACCTGTGATTACAGAGAACTTGAGGAGAGGGAAGGAGCAAGATTTATATGCTGCACAGAGGGCCAGAGCTTGGGCTCCCACACAAGAAGGTCCCAGTGGCACAGCTGAGCATCTGCAGTCCCTGCAAAACTGATTGGACTTGCAACCCTTGGCTTTGTGTTTGTGCCTGACTCATCTGCAGCAGCTCATTGGAGAGTGCTGTTCCCATATTCCCATCATTGTTTCATTCCCACTGCATCCCAATATGTCAAAAAAATGTTGTGACACAAAACTCTTGCTGTGATAGAAGAAAAGTTCACATTCACACTGAGAACCAGGCCAGGGAGATTCACTGTAGGACATGGGAGTTTCATCAGGACACAGCAAGAAATGCCACTGCAGGAAGATGAGGAGCTGCTGGGAAGTTCCCCTTGGTCTTTGATTCTCTCTGATATATTTGTGTAGACTGTGTGCAGTCCTGCTGCACGGGGAATTGCCGTGGGACTTTTGCAATTCCTGCAGCAGAGAGCAGGTTTGGCCCATGAACTGCAGGCAGGGGACACACCAACAGCTAAACTCCATTAAAGTTGTCCTTTTGTGACACACAGAATCTTCGAGTTATAGAAATATCTTGGCTGGAAGGTCACTTAGTCTAACCCTCGTGCAATGACCAGGGACACCTTCAGCTAGCTCAGATTGCTCCAATACCCACCCAACCTGACCTTGAATATATCTGAGTTTGGGACATCCACCACTTCTCTGGGCAACCTGTTCGAGAGTTCTGCCATGCTCATCACACAAGGCATGCATGTGTGTCATGGGCTGGCATTGCTATCCCATGCTTGCCCAGCTGCATGCAAACAGCTCTCAGCCCTGGCCTCAGCACTGTTCCAAAGAGTGGTAAGAGGCAGACTCTGGAGTGCACGTTCCTTGCCTGAATCACCGGTGCAGTGCCCCTTACCAACATTCTTTCATCTGACACCAAGGTGATTCCTGCAGCAGCTCATTTTACAAAGGCAGAACTGATATCCAAAGCCGGTCACCATCCCACTGATGGGAACAGGACATCCAGGGCAATTAGGATTAGGGAACATGTTAAGATTTTAAGCACTTCCCTACTGTCCACAAACCCCTTACCTGACACCATCTCGCCTCCGTAGCCCTGCCTGATGAGGGAGAAGACCACCTTTGGCTGGAGTGCACAGTCGATGCAGGCTTGCACCGCTCGCTGCAGGGCCGCCGCCGGCCGCTCCGGGCCAAAGTGCTCCGGCAGCTGCTGCACCTTCTTTCTGTCGAGGTACGGCCCCAGGTTTGCTTGCTTGTTGACATAAATGCAGACTGTAGACATAAAATCCCAACAAGGTTATTACAAAACAGTCCTACAGGGAGCTACAGGGAGCATCCTAGGAAATGCTAGCATTCTACATTTCTATTCATTTCCCAAGTTTTTCCTTCACTGAACTGGTGAATTGCTCCCACTCGTGATGGCAGAGCCAGACTTCCTTGTGCTAATGACACACTGCCAGAGCAAAGCAAGCCGAGTTTAGGTCTAGCTCAGTGTCACAGGCTAGGATAAACTACACACATCGAAAAAAACTCCTATATGTGCCTGGGATCTGCTGTCTTGAGGCCACTTTGTCCATGCAACTTGTGACCAGAAAAATGTGCTGGGAGTGCAGAACAGTGGCTACCAGTGGTGACTTCACAGCAAGGAGGGAATGCCAGCCTGAGGTGTGCTTTCAGATTGGTTTTTTTTTTTTTCCCTCTGTTTTTAGAGTGGTTCATTGGAGCTGCTGTGAGAAGCACTGCTCTGAGATGACTTTTGGAAAGGCTTTGGATCCTTGCTTCTTCAAACGCAGCTGTAATTTCTGGAGGGTTATGCTGCACAGTGCCATGGCAGAAATCTGGTCTTTGGGAGTTTCCTAACCCTTCATGTCCAACCTAACACTCTACAAACTGCATCAAGTTGAGGGAAACTGTACAGTGGTACGTTTTGGGACTGCAACAGTGTGACTGTGCTGCTCAGGGGTCCCTGAGGGAGTCTGCCCTTGCCTCTAAACAGCCAAGCCCTGCATGCCTCCTCTCATAAGCTGCAAAGGTAGTTTTTCTACACGCCATCAGGCTGCCAGCAATAGCCAAAAAAATGAGTGTTCTCCTCACAGCCATGAACTTATTTTAAGATTGGCTGAGGCTAACTGCATCTCAGGGGAAGCAGGGATAGTGCTGGGTAACTAAGGGCGACTAAGACACAGCCTAAAGTCAGGCTAAAGTGAGACATATTATAATAGCTGGCTGAGTGTGCTCGAGCTGTCATCTCTCAAACAATATAACATTATCTTCTGACAGAAATCAGATATGTGACAAAAAAACCCCATCAAGCAGAGTGGAGGACATGATGACAGCTGTGTAAAGTTGGAAATAATTTACAGTTTGCATCACCATAATGAAAATCTAGTGCAACTGTCACAGTGCACTCTGCTCCCCCATCTTGCAGGGACCAGCAGAAGGGGCTCAAGCAGTACATCCAGGGTAAACAGGAGGATAATAGCAATCATACTTATCATTATACCGCTTCACACCTTCCAAGTGCCAAACAAACAAAGGGATAGTGCACTGAAAATACAGCAGTGGCATGCAGGAATTGCAGGGGGATGTCAGGGTGCAGCTTTCTCAGAGTGCCACACCTTGACAAATCTGCAGAATGCGGCTTCTGCGTGACGATCCACGGGTTTTGTCGGGGCTCAGCTGTGGGAGGGATTCTGCAGCTTGCAGCTTGCAATGTGCTGAGTCCCCCACCGTGGAGCCAGGGTCCCTGCAGTCCTTCTGAAGCAGAGAGGGAGGTGAAAGCTGGCTTGAGCTTCCCTTCGCCTCCTGCTAGCCCCACTCTGGTAGGAACCTGCACGCTCTGTTGGGAGGGTGCTGGGAGGAAAGGTGCCAGTGGCATGAGGATGGGCAGAGGTGTGGGGCACTGCCTGAAGTGACCCACAGAGCCCCTGCCTTTGCAGCCACCCTGGTGATCTGGCAGAGCTGGTGGGCTGTGCCTCCCTGTCCCGGTCCAAAAGCAGCCCTGGGCACAATCTCTCAGGGCACTTCCATCCACTCAGCTGCTGTTTGCCAAGTGCTTTGCAGACTTTGCGTGTGAAGGGATAAATGAGAATAAAATATATTATTGTCATTGTTGCTGGGTTTAGTATCATTCTGCCACCAGAGCAGATGGAAAACTTCTCCTCTGTGCATCCCAGCTAAGAAATAATGGGATTTATGTGTTGTGTTTAGATTCTAATGTTATCTAATCCATTTCTCTGCTGAAATCTCTGGGTAAATCAGCTGTCTTGTTGATTTTCTTCTCATTTACATCAGTTTAAAAGCCTTGACCTATGTTACTTCTGGTAATATAAACAAAAAGAAGGAGTAAGGCTGTGTTTTCTGACTACATTTGGAAATGACCATGCCTGCTGCTGTGATAAGGCATTGAGGTTTTTGTGCTGGTAGCCCTGCCTACAGTCTGACCATGGCTCCTCCGTTCTTCTCCCTACAGCTGTAACAGATGCTTCATGTTCACACAGGGATTTAGGTTGGTCACTGCAACATATCAGTTGGGGTGAAAGTGTTAGGGATAAAATGGAGCATTCATGGGGTTTTGATGTCCACATTTCAAGAGGAATGGGACTGACATCTCTGTTAAACTCGATGCATGACAGTGAAAATACAGTCTTGCAGGATAACTCTGCTCATTGTCACTGGTCACTGGACTAATCTGCAAACACCCCGTTTTCATGAGCTCCCCTCGTTCTGGAAAGCCCAGCATCTGGCTGTGACATCTGTCTGTCAGTCCGTGGCTCCTGCTCAGCCCTTGGTCAAAGAGCACTTGAGGCTGAGTACCTGTGAGAGCATGTGGGGTGTCCGAGTTGGGTACCGTAGCTGCATCCTGGGGGATTGAGCTAATATCCGGCTCCGGCGTGCTTCTCGGAGGAGAGATTGCTAAAGGAGTCATCAGGACACGAGATTTCAGCTGCAAAAAGTAATGAAAGTATACACAAGATAGTCCAATTTTATTCTATGTATGTCATGCCCCATGAACTCCCACTCATTAGCAATCTGCTATTGCATCACTTTCTGCAGGCCAGAAGATCCATCCTGCTCCCAGGAGGATACTGGAGCCTGAAGCCTGACTGATTTGCTGCAGACAGCAACGCCTTAAGCTACGGGATGCAAATATTATGCCACCCACCGGGTAGTTATTTACACCTGAGCAAATTGAGCCTAACACTCCAACAAATCAGTGCAATGGCATTTTACGAGCCATTTCATGTGGGTGTAAACAATGCTCCACAACGCAGAAACATGGGGTCTTAACTGCATCGTAATTTAGGGCCAAATTCTGCTCTTCGTTGCAGGGCTGTAAATCTTGTATAAATGCACTGGCACCAAGAGGCTACTCTGGGCTGACACACATGTAAATAAGCTCACACTGTGGTCCAGATTGTGTTATTACCAGCTAGGAAATACAAACTGCTGCACTGTTTCACCCAGGATCTTTGCAACCTGCATCCCAGCTTGGAGAAGAGAAGCATGATGTGAATTTACGGCGCAATATCACAATGTCTTTATGCTGCTAGTACCTGGCAACATCTCACCAGTCAAATGATGATCAGGTCCTCATATTTAAAAAGGACTGATGTGATGGATGCAACCTGAAGGTACCACTCTTGCTTTTCCTTTTGTGAAGAAGGGAAGTAGGGGGAAAGCAGAGAGCCAAGCACACATCTTGCTGGTTTATATATTTACATGTCCTACACCAAAATGTTCTTCTGACAGGCATTTATTTCCTTTTGTTGTTTTTCAATGGACAATGTACAAAGTACATTTTAAGTAAAAATGAAGTCAGACAACTGCCTCCAAACCAAAGCCTGAGCAATCCCTGTTGGTGAGTAGAAGTTGTTTTGGATTAAGATTTTTGTTGTCCATGACTGTGAATTTACATGTCTAAAATCATGGTCACTGTTTCAGCATAATGGTAAAACTAGAAAGCTGGGGAAACGAGAGGGAAGTATGTAGGACTTAGGGACATCTAAGTGAGTTTTTACCTCCCTCTTTTGCTTTCAGTCTGAAAGAGGGAAAAATATTAAATAAGTGCATTTGAGACAAGCTGTGGGTTTGATCTCCTGCCATATGGCAGTTGCAGAGTATGGGGGACCCTGAGCTGGCCCCTGGTTAGTGCCATTTCTCACTTGCCTGCGTTATCCTTTTTTGTAGAGTTGCCTTGACTTCAGATTGGGATCAAGAATGACCAGCAACAAGGTGCTGTCAGTTTGTTTTCACAGAATCACTGACTATGCTGAGTTGGATGGGACCCACAAAGAATCATCAAGGCTCTGCACAGAACCATCCCCAAGAGTCACACCCTGTGCCTGAGAGCATTGTCCAAACACTTCTGAACTCTCTCAAGCTTGGTGCTGTGACCACTTCCCTGGGGAGCCTGTTCCAGTGCCCAGCCACCCTCTGGGTGAAGAACCTTTTCCTAATATCCAACCTAAATCTTCCCTGACACAACTTCATGCCATTCCCTGAGGTCCTGTTGCTGCTCACCAGAGAGAAGAGATCAGTGTGTGCCCCTCCTTTTCCCCTTATGAGGAAGCTGTAACTGCAATGAGGTCTCCCCTCAGTCTCCTCCAGGCTGACCAGACCAAGTGACCTCAGCTGCTCCTCATACGGCTTCACCTCAAGCCTTCATCATCCCTGTTGTCCTTCTTTAGACGCTCTCCAATACTTTAATATCTTTCTATATTGTGGCACCCAGAACTGCCCCCAGCACTCAAGGTGAGGCCGCCCCAGAGCAGAGCAGAGCAGGACAATCCCCTCCCTTGCCCAGCTGGCGACGCTGTGCCTGGTGCCCCCCAGGACACCGCTGGTCCTCCTGGCTGCCAGGGCACTGCTGACTCATGTTCCACTTGCCATCGACCAGGACCCCCAGGTCCCTTTCCACAGCACTGCTTTCCAGCATCTCATTGCCCAGTCTGTCTGTGTATCCATGCCAGGGGCAGAATCTGGCACTTTCCCTCATTGAAATTCATGTGGTTGGTGATTGCCCAGTCCTCTGATTTGTCAAGGTCTCTGCTGGGCCTCCCTGCCCTCCAGGGAGTCAACAGCTCCTCCCAGTTTTGTATATGAGAACATGCTTAGTGTCCCTTCCAGTCCTGCATCCAAGTAATTTTATGAAGATGTTGAAGAGCACAGGGCTGAGAATGTAGCCCTGTGGGAAACCCATCAGTGACAGGTCACCAGTCTGATGTCACCCCATTCCCTATAACCCTTCGTCCCTGACTGGTGAGCCAGTTGCTCACCCATGGCATGATGTGATTTATCCAGCTGTGTGCCTGACATTTTGTCCAGAAGGATACTGTGAAATAAAGTGTTGAAAGCTTTACTGAATGGGAAGAGAACAGAGTTTCAAAAATCAAGGTCTCCATCCAGTTTGGGATTTATTCCATGTAAGAAGGTGAGAAGCAGCATGATTTATTACATTGTATAGCAATATGTCAATTATTCACTTTTCTATGGCAAAGTGGGCTGGCAAAGTGAAACCCACTGTGTAGCCCCTATGTTAGGCTTCTGGGCTTGTTTTTGATCACATATATATATACACACATGTATACAACGAATATATATGTACGTATGTGCATTTGTACGCACTCTATTTATTATATAAAATAGATATATTTATAGAGAGATGTGCAGATATAGAACCACAAAATCATTTAGGTTGGAAAAGACTGCTGAGATCATTGAGTCCAATAATTTCCTGACATTGCCAGGACCACTACTATACCATGTCCCTAAACACCTACATGTCTTTTGAACACTTCCAGGGACAGTGATTCCACCATTTCCTTTGTTCCAGTGCTTGAACACCCTTTTAGTGAAGTATTTTTTCCAAACATACCATCTAAATCTCCCCTAGCATAACTTGAGGTCATTTCCCTTTTCCCTGTTGCTGGTTGTCTGGGAGAAGAGACCAGCCTCACCTGGCTACACCCTCCTGTCAGGCGGTTGTAGAGATTGAAAAGGTCTCCCCAAATCTCCTTTTCTCCCAGCTAAACAACTCCAGCTCCCTCAGCTGCTCCTCATAAGACTCCTCCAGACCCTTCACTGGCTTTGTTGTCCTCCTCTGGACAGGTTCTAGCAATACTTGTATGCTGTCACTCTTACATTTCTCTATATAGATATTATTTTTGAGACAGTACACCTGACAAATTCTGCTTCACTTGCATGTTGGCTCCTTAATATCCTTACTGGCTCACATTCCTGTGGTCCCAAACAGAGGCACAAAAGTCCCCTCTTCAGCCCCTGAGCCTCGTGAGTGTGTGCTGCCTCACCAGCATCATCAGACCTTTTTCTCCTCCTAGATCTTGGAGGCCCAGGCAAGCTTACATTCAAAAGCAAATAAACAGAGGGCAAGGCTTGTGTAAGCTCTCTAGTGTGGAAGCCCCTTTCTTTGTTTGTTGAAATCCCCTGTTTTAGTGAACAATTTACTGCAAAATTAATTGCAACAAAATTAATTGCAACAGCCTCTGGGTACAGATAAATGTCATTTTATTAGGGATAGTAGAGAACTGGCCTTTGTTAGATCAAAATAAAACAATGCCTGATTAGTGCAGAGACAGTACACTAAAAAAACAACAGCTTAGCTACCTCCTGGACACTGAAACCCTGAGTAGTCCCTGAATATAATGGAGGGTAAATCTCAAAGTACTCCATTTTAAGATGTTTTTCCTTGGACTGAGTCTTCTCTATCGAAAAGCCAACCCAACCAACCAGCTGACTGACAGAGCTTGCCAGTAGAAAGCACATATGTGTGAGAGTCAAAAAAAGCAGTGAAGAAGAGAGAGAGAGAAAGAGAAAAAGAGACAGAGGAAATCTGTCAGAGCACATTAGGAAATCCTTGTGGTAAGGCATTGGAATTAGCTTTTGACTATCAAATATCATGAGTTTTAATATGCACAGCATGAGATGTAAAAGTAGTTGCTTTAAAACAAGATCTACTCACCCCCCCCCCACTCTTATGGATTTTCTACCATGGAATTGAGATCAGAGAAAGCTGATCAGGGATTTTGGGTAGGAAATAAGTGTGTCTGCTTTACCAAAGTCACCATGCATGAGATGCAGAGATAGTGGGCTTTTGTGCCATTGATGCTGGCTACAAGTTTGTTTGAGTATGCAGTGGCTGGGGATGGGGAGGACTCCGCTGAGTCCTGGAGTTTTTATTACAACCTGCACACCTCCTCAGAGAAGCCAGGATTCATCTAACTGGTATTTATGTCATCCCCCACCAAAAAAAATGAAAGAGGGTGAAGAACATTTGCCAGGCAACTTTTTTTCTTTCTGAAGATCTCTGCCAGCTTTTATAATAAAATACATGGGAAAGTAACACGATGAACCACAACACAATCTTTCCCTGCAGTTTTCTTAAACCGCTTAGATGCAGGTTCTCATTTTTATCCCTCCCTGTTCCCCTGTACCAGTTGTCCTGAAAAAACAGTTGCTAGAAAAGGCTGGGATTCACTCCATCCCCATGGACTTTTGTCCTTCCAGACAGGAGGGCAGAGGCACCTCCTGGCAATGAGAGCTTTTGCTGCCGGAGAGAGAACCATCTTCAGCCCCTGCAAATGTGCAATAAGGTGAGTGTCTGAGCCAGCCTGGTCCTGCCACGTGGATCTCTGATGGCTGGACAGAAGGTTGCCATTAAGCATACACCAGGGAAGCACAGAGCTTCTGAGCACATGTGTTGGGGTCTGTGGCTCTGCATTTGGCTGTGAGTGAGGAGACTCAGCATAGCACAAGCCCAGTCACTGAGGGTGAGAGGGGAGGTCATCTGACAAAGGCAAACACAGCCCAAGGTCTTTCCCACCTTTCCTTCTTGTGTTGTGCAATAACTCTCTTGTGCACAGCAAATGGTGCAAGTGAGTCTGCACACAGCCTCCTACATCCCATCAGCGTTTCACAGAGAATGAGGCAGGTAACCTTGACAGGAGGGTATACAACCTTGAAATCCAGAGGACAGGTGAATAAACAGGACACTTTAAGGTTGTCTGTGCAATCTCATTCCCAATGTGTCCAAATCCTGACTGCTTATTTGTCATCATTAGCATTGACTTCCAGGGCAGCAGGGTAGCCTGTGTCCCGTAATGGAACTGTCACTCCACACGTGTGACTCTCGCTGCCCACCCCACCTGGTTGATCTGGGCTGGGGCCACCTCCCCGGCTGGGAGCTGCACCGGTTGCACAGAGGGACAAACTGCCCTCGAGCTGCTCAAAGGGTGCCGTGGCTTTGTTTCCCTCTGGCAGGGACGCGATGGTCTGTGCTGCAGTGCTGCCCCATGCGTGGGTCCCTCCGATGTCCTCTAACAGGGCGAATCCCTGCAGGGTGCTAACAATCCCTTCCCTCCTGCAGCCTTTCTAGGCATCTCTTCAGGGCTGCTCTCACTCACAGCCAGAGAAATAAAACCCATCCATCGACTAACCTTCCCCTCTGGCTGCCAGAATAGGCTTTTTCCCAGAGATTTAGACAATCAGAGAGAATATTGTATTTTGGGGAAATGTAACGTTTTATGGCAAATAGCTCCACATAAGGTAGAAAACAGTTTTTGGAAAAACAGCTGATGAAATTTTATAGCCAAAGCTGTGAAAAAATAAACAGGATAGCAAGGAAAAGACTTTTCTTGGTGATGAAGTGTGATGAAATGTCATTTCAGGAAGACACAGATATTTCCTTTAATATCAATGAAAACAGGCAATGGGTCACCTGTCTATAAAGAGCATGTGATTGAAAATGTCTGTTATTCACATCTTGGTCAAAATAAATTTAAATCTAGGCTGTAAATTCCTAGTTTCTTAAAAATTCAGAAGTATTTTTCCATCTGTTCTGTAACAATTCAGCTCTCTGGCTGCTATAAAGAATTTGGTTGTCTGCCATTTGGGCAGGGAGTCATTTTTTAAAATGCATTCAAGTCTTGTGGTATCTGAAACTCGCACAATTATCGAGCTAATTAAATCAAGCTAGAGCTCCCCATGAAAAAATGTAATTTTTGACTCACACTGGGGAAGTGCTTTGGGTGGAGAGGAGCTCACTTCAGCTGAGCACACAGCGTACGTGGGAATACACGGAAAACATTGCTTTGGTGTATGAGTCCTACAGCACAAATCATCCAGGCCAGGAGCCAGGGGTGCTGCAGCTCATGAGTGTCAGCCCCATGCACCTGAGCCATTGGTTACAAAAGGATGCCTTTTATGTGCCATGCTCTCCAAGAAAGAGCCTCATCTCAGATCCACTGCCGAAGGAGGGATGCTGTTGCCTCCTTGCTAAGTGCCTGGGGACAAAGAGGAAGAGTGTGTGGTACCCAGTCAGGGATGAAGTGTCCCTTTGGAAGAAGTGGGGGACACAGCAATCAAATGCTCGGCCACATAGGTCCAAAGCACTGTGTTACTGCAGCATTTCCAGGAATTTAAGTCTACCACTTCCCCCATTTATATATGTGTGGTGATTGGTGAAAGAGTTTTTTCCAGGTGGATGGGTACATTTGGGATAAAACAGAACACATTCCACGGCTTTTTTTTTTTTTTTTTTAGTCAAATTCCAAATCAAATGTAAATGCATGAGCAAGAAGTGAGGGTCACCAAGACAAGCAGGGACAGAAGGGACAGGGTGTGAAAAACCCTGCATACAAGGTCATTGTGGTATTTGGCAAAACAATCTCAAACCTCAAAGACCCCATTTCAGCACATCTCCAATGTATTATTGTCCACACTGGGTGGTTTTGATCTGAACAGTCTGCAAGTCACCCAGCTTTACTGATAATAACTAAGTTACTTGAAATAAATAAATATAATAAATAATAAACTTGAAACAAGAAATACCTCAAGTAAAGCAATTCAGATGTTTCCATCCTGGAGTTTTATCCTGATATGGAAGTGAAAGAATAAAAAGTATTTCCATATCCCACATTTTACAAAGCACTTGAATATTTGCCCCAGTCTTATCTTGGAGCTCTATTTTGGACTACTTTTAGACAGAGGTTAGGGGCTAGGAGGAAGAAGGTCTGGCAGGAGGTGAAAAGGAGGGAAAGGTAAAGATGAGGGTAGCCTGCTCTAGATTAAGCTCAAATCCAAGGATCACAGCAATCAAAGAGTTGGTCCCTGTGTCCAGAGCTCAGCCAGCAGCACCATGCATGGGACATTGTTGCCTCCTATGAACAAGGAGAGACCCACAGAAGAGCCAGGCAACACCCCAGACAAGACCTTCTCCAGGGAAGATTGTTTTATTCACTTTTCTGTCTTGAAACCACGAACTCAAGCAGCTGTGATTTTCCATCAGTCAGCAATTTGCCCTCCTTGTGTAACAGTCTGCATGTCTGTACCAGTGCCCATCCAAAACAAGGAACAGACATGGCAAACATGCACACTGCCCCGAGCTGGCTGGGGACACAGACGGAGACATTAACAGAGCAATCTGATGAGCACAAGACCCCTTACTGAGCTGTGGCCCAGTTTCACTCCCCAGAACAAATTCTCCTTCCCTCAGAATCACAGTCCCATTTTTGCCTGGTGCTGCTCCCACTGCAGTGCTGAGCCCACTGCAGGTGGTGTGGTGGGAGAGACCCAGCCCAGCAGCAGCATCAGAAGGGCTTAAGGCACTAAGGGTTCCTGGCTTTCTTTATTTCTGCCTTTGCCCCAGGGTTGCACAGAGAGCTGGGCAGTGAGCACACAAATAAAGTAAAATACCATTATTTTTCTCAAATAAATGAGTTTTTTTTTTTTTGTTCCTTTGGAAAATTGCTTTTCCCCCCCTCCCTTTATTTCCACTCTCTTGTATTCCTTTTCTTCTCTGTTCAGTTTGTTCAATTTCTAATCACTGTTAGTGAGAGAGAGGAAAGTGACAAATGAGAAACCCTCCCCTGAAGGTGTGCAGCCATCCCACACAACACTGTGGAAAACACTTTCAAAGAGACCAAATTAAAATAACTTTAACCTGTGGGAAAATATGCATGGTGTGGTTCTTGGGGTGTCCTGTGCAGGACCAGGAGCTGGACTTAATTTTCCTCATGGGTCTCCCTCAACTTAGAATACTCTACAATTCTGTGATTTTTTCCACCAGCTCAGGTAGAAGAGAAACCATCTTCTCTTTTGTTTTTGGTTTTTTTTTTTTTTTTCTTTGCATTGCTCTGCCCCAGACTTGCACAACTTTTCCTCTGTTCCTGCATTTCAGCTGAAATTCTAGAAGAAAATGTATGAAGACCAACAGGATGTGGAGAAGGAATGTGAAAGCCATGCATCTACCTTGTGCCCAGGCTTTCTCCCTCTCTTCTTTGGGATCTTCATGGCTGGCAGAGAACCAGCTGGTGCTGAGAAGAGGTTGTGAACAGCCATTTTGATGGGTGCTGGCTGGAGAGGGGGCCGCCCTCGCTTCTTCCCTGCCATCCTGGGGGACTGCATCTCCCCAGCAGCCAGGCTGGGGTCCAGGCACGGTGGGTGGCTCATCTGCCCTAAGAAGAAACAAACAAACAAAAAAAAAAAAGCAATCCAACTTTTATTTAGTTTTTATTTTAGGTTGTTGTTGGTTTGGGTTTTTTGTTGTTGGTTTGGGTTTTGTTTTATTTATCCCAAGGCAGTTTTCTCAATGCTGTAATTTTCCTTCTTACCATTGCTCACAACGCAGCAAGAAACACACCACAGATGTATGACCCTGGGTGGGATTCACCTGACCACAGCCTCACCTTCACCTGACCACAAAACCCTTATCCTTCCCGTTTCCCTCTCCTGACCACAAGTACAGTAGAGGGAGTTGCTCAGGTGGTGACTGCAGTGGTGAGGCTTCTATTGCAGATGTCCAAGAGCTGAATTCCACAACCTCGGGGACACCACCTCGACCCTGCATCCTGCAGTTAAGTGTGATGAAGGCTTGATCTTGGAGCCATCAGTCAGAGGGTGTTTGGGGTAGATGATCTCCTAAAGTCTCTGCCAAACTGATTTTTTTTCACAAATTCTGTGGTTCTGCAAATCCTGCCTCACCTCAGAAGTACTACCAATACCAAAATGGACTTTCCTCCTCTTCATCCACAACACTCCTGGGTGGGGAGGCTGGGCTGGGCCATGAGGCTGCCAGCAGGAGGTAGCTGTGTTAGAGGGCAATTGCCAAACATTTCCTCTCTGCAATTTTATAACATCTGTTACCATGCATGTTAGTAGTGGGCTTTTGGATGTACTCCACGAGCACAGTTACTGCACCACAACTCCATGCACCTGCTGAAGTTGAGCAGGGGTAATGGAGTGGAATCTGGTCCATTTTCCTCTGCCCAGATTTTAATAAAGAAAACAAATATACAGCTATATGCACAATACCAAGGGAATATACAGCATCTTTCACAGCTTCTAGTAAGGGTCACCAAAGAACAAAGGTTAATTGGAAAAAAAACCAGCTGTAGCAATATGTTTCTAAATGTTGTTTTGTCCAGGCATTTGATTTCCTGCATATGGGCAGAATAGTAGTCCCAGTCCTGCCTGCATGCATTGCTAGACACAAAGGCCCAAGCAATTCTCATATTTTTATGATAAACCTTGCAATGGCTAATGTTGTCAAAATTGTGCGCCCTCAGGCCAGTGATAATGGAAGACTCCCTGTTTTCCATATGTTTTTTTTCACAGAGCAGGCTCATAGCTCTCTCAGCTTCAGAGAAAACCTTAAGATGTGGTTCAAGAGCATTCTCTACATAAAGAAAATAAAGGTTTGCTTATTACTACAAACAACTAAAACTTTTTACAAAATCTATAAACTATAAAACCTACAAATTTCTCAGAGCACTTCAAATTTCACAATTTCAGAACCCAGTGTGATCAGAGCTGATGTTGCTGGGAATGAAATCAGGATTGCTCACTCACATAGTGGGAAGGGTACCACTTGATAGGGGCCTCTGGTGACAAGTATCTGCAGCTGGAGGCTTCTTTCTTTCAAAGGCAAGTATGTTATGCCTAGTTTAAACTCTGTAAGTGTGACTAACCAAAAAGAAACCCACTTTTATGATATTATCCAATCTGTAGTTGACACAATCTCCTGTATGATAAAAAAAAAAAAAGGGCGCCCAGCCCTACCCTCCAGTAAATGTATTTATTTGCAATATCTTAAAATCTGTGTGTTTTCAATAGTGCTAGGAATATCTGCTCCGTTCAGATAGATCCACTATATATGATGGGACTTCTAGATTGATTACAACATTTTCAGTCTTCAACCCCACCTGCCTAAAACTCTCAAGCATTTACAGATTGTCAAACATCAGAGCAGAGCAAACTGATTTACCATATTGTCCAGAGCCACTGTGCTTGCACTCACTCTCCAGGCATGCTCAGCCAGCTTGGGAACCCCATGAAAGCCTGCCTTGGGGCTCTGACTTCCCTCCAGCAAATGCATTTATTTGCAATATCTTAAAACCTGTGTGTTTTCAATAATGCTAGGAGTATCTGCTCCGTTCAGATAGATCCACTATATATGATGGGACTTCTAGATTGATTACAACATTTTCAGTCTTCAACCCCACCTGCCTAAAACTCTCAAGCATTTACAGATTGTCAAACATCAGAGCAGAGCAAACTGATTTACCATATTGTCCAGAGCCACTGTGCTTGCACTCACTCTCCAGGCATGCTCAGCCAGCTTGGGAACCCCATGAAAGCCTGCCTTGGGGCTCTGACTTTCACCAAAGAAAAGTCTCATGTGAGTGCAGAGAGTTTCTTTTCAGGGTTAAAATCATCAGGCTTGCCACAGCAGGAGTTAAATGGAAAGGCCCAGTTTATCCTGAACATCACTGCTTTCCTTCTGTCTTCAGCAGTGCTCATTTTCCTCTCTGTAGTGCTTTCTGACGGGCACTTGGTGTCTCTTCCACCTCCCAAAACAACACATTCCCAGGATCTTACATTACAGGCTGTCTGTAGGCAGCGAGTTCAGCAGGGAAAGGAAATGCAACAATTACACTGGATTTGGCACCAAAACACACTGAAAGCCCAGTGCTGCAGGCTCTGCATTTTGGTCTGCTTTAAACAAAACCTGGCAAGATAAACCTTTGCAGAGGAGCTTGGTGGAGGCTGAGGAAGACAAATCCAGCCCAGGTTTGCTCCCTGCTTGAAGAAGGGAGTGGTTCCTGCCGAAGGGACCACTGGTGGCCATGGGGCTGTGAGAGAGAGGCTGTGCACCTGCAGGGAGCACCACACTGCATTGTCTGTATCGTATTCTCCTCTGATGGTAAAAGTAGCTGATGGCACCTCAGAAACTGAGTTAACAACCCCAAAACAAGAGGTTCTGACCCAGAGCACTTCTTTGTCTGAAATGTTGCTTTCTTTTGCAACTGGTGAAGTATTAAATACGTGGTGGTCAGGAAATGCACTAAATTTTAACCATCACAGGTTTTTGTGCTGTTTCTGCCCTCCCAATAGTCGTGACACCGTGCTTTGGCAAAACGTCTTAGAGCTCCTCACCACATGTGAGGAGCTGGCACACAAGACCCAGATGAGCTGTGCACAAAAGGATCTCAGTGTAACATACTTGATTTGATACAGCAAAGACATTGTCAACTTCAGCATACAAGCTGTTGTAATTACATTTTATTACAAGCCCCACCGTGACTTGATTCTCCTTTCTTGTGTGCTGAGGGAAATGTGAGTGATTTTGGGGACATTTATTGTCACACTGCTGCAGATCCTGTGAGGCAAAGGTGCTCCCCAGTAGCAGGGAAGGGCAGCAGACACACAGAAACTGCTTCTGCCTGACAGAGGGGTCACAGCAAGACCTTCCCTGGCAGCCAGGAGGAAGCTCTTGGGCAGGCTGGAAAAACGCACAGTCAAATTGCAGGTTGGCCAAAGAGGTCAGAGGGACACAGGGGCTTGTTTGACTGCTCCCCAGAAAAATCAGGGCATTACCTTGGAATGACTTTCCCAGGGCAGCTCTGACTGCTGCCACAGCCTGGGCTTGACCCGCAGCTCAGTGCTGGAAAGATTGGTGAGTTCAAGGCAAGTCATGAGAGTCTGATGAAATTTAAGGGCAAATTCAAGGAAGCAAATTACAGGCTACCAACAAAGGCAGTGCCTCAGCTCAGGAAAGCACTGTACAAATAGCTCAGAGGAATGCTCTGGGAGGGAAATCAGTGTATGTTTGCCCTGTCCTTGTACTTTTCCAAAGGCACTAGCTTTTGGATGCCCAAGGATGGTGCAGCTTCAGTCTGACCTGGGTCTACCACTTTTGTGTTCTTAGTTTAAAAATAACAGCAGGAAACTGCATTTATGGCTTCTCATCACTTAATGCAGGGCTAGGCACAGGGTAACCTCTCCTGACTTGTCTCTCAAACACTGTCATTTGGAAATACAGTTTCTAACCCTGCCTTCCACATTGCCCCATCAGGTCCCAGAGAGGAGGCAGCAGGGAAACACCTCTCCCCACCTTGACACCTGGGCAAGCACTGCAGGAAGGGCAAAGTCTCATTCCCTCCAGGAGCAGAAGTGCAGCTGTGACTTCAGAGGATCCTTATGAGCACCCCTTGGGATGCCAGGGGTGGGGAGAAAACATTCCCTAGGCCAGTGCTGGTGAGCTGTAGGATGTTTCTCACAGCCCATGCTTCACACCATGCATGCCTTGCCCCACAGGTTGGTGTGTATGCTGTACAATTAGCAGCACAGATTACCGTGCTGGAAGCTCCCTCAGCTGAGAGCAGAGGGAGCTACAGTGTGTTTCCTCCCAAGCTGAGTGTCTTTGATGGACTGCAAAGATCCATTCTTAATAAAAATAAATGTCTGCAATAAATGCAGCTTTTAAGCTGCACTCCGGTAACTGCAAGGACTGAAGGTAAAAATACCACATTAAATTTTATATTGGTAATTCCACTGGATGATCATTTAAACTTGGTTTATACCAGGTCTCATGCAAACCTGTGCCTGGACAGGCACAGGAACGACACATAGGGAAGGAACAAGCAATTCCTGCTGTAAGCCAAAGGAACATGCAGGGGTGCAGTCAAGTAGAAAATGTGCCAGCTCCTCAGCAGCTGAAGGAGATTGCCCTTCCCTCCCCTACACCCATTGCTCCCAGCTGCAGAAAGACTCTGACCTGTCAGAATTTGCAGCCCTGCCTCCAGCCCTTGCAGAGCTTTGTGTCTCACTGATCTACATACCCAATGGTGGTATGTGGAACGTGGAAAAGAGATAAACTTCTTGTGATCTTGTCTGTCTTTTCTTCAGATGTTGTTCAGGAAAGCACGTTTGTGGGGGGATATCACGTTGTTAAACAAGAGGGAGGGGATACCTTTCAGTCAGTAACATGACTATTTTCCCCTCTTTCTCTGTGCACAGCAGGGCAGCCCTTTGACTGTGACCGCTCAGAGCTGATGGCCTGAGGAGTAGGTGAGCAAAAAGAAAAGAATTGTCAGATCCAGAAAGCAAGCTTTAAACCTGCCTGCTCCTCCTGGGGAGTA